GGTACCATAGTGCAGGGCTTTTCAACCTTTTCACCCATTGTATCACTTTTAGGATACGGCAATATCCGAGTACCACCAGTCGCCTAGCAAGGTGTCAAAAACTTGATGACCAAAAAAAAAAAAGGAAAAAAAGTGATGAAGTACAGTAGTCCTCGACTTACAACAGTTCGCTTAGTGACTGTTCGAAGTCACAATGGCACTGAAAAAAGTGCCCCCCAAGCCATAGCCGAGCAAGACACCTGCCTGCCCATCCGGCGGCGCTCTTCCTCCTGTCTGACGTTTCCATTGTTAACATTTCTGTTGAAGATTGGCAGTGGGGGTGGGGTGGGGGGTGTTTGGTTTTTATTCCCCCCTCTGCTGGGTGGTTGCAGCAGGTTTTGGTCACTTCACATGACCCTGGGACACTGTGACAGTCATAAATATGAATCAATTGCCAAGCATCTGAATGTAAATCACAAGACCCTGGAGATGCTGCAACATTCCAGCTGATTGGTGCTTTTTCAGGGCTCAGCAGAAGCACCAGGATCAGTGCTGCTTTCCAGCTGGAGCCTGTCGCTGATCCTGGCGTTTCCACTGAGCCCTGACAGCCCCAAAGAAGTGCCGATCAGCTGGAAAGCGGCACTGATCCTGGCGCTTCCGCTGAGCTCTGACAGCCCTGCAGCTCCAGCCATCTCTCGCTCAGGCTTGTGCGGTGCTGCCACCGATTCAGCTCATTCCCCTCCCCCGCTACCACTTTTCTAGGATGGCCGCGTACCACCTGCCAGGTGCTAATGTACCGCAGGTGGTACCCTTATCACTGGTTGAAAAGCCCTGCCATAGTGGAAGGAGAACTTTTGTCTGTAAGAAGACAAAGAAATTAAGACTCACTTAATTTCTGCTCATTTCAGCGGCTTTTCTCTACATATGACTAATTAGATATTCAGTGTTCTCACTAGGAAATACTTGATCCATCTCAGATTTTAGATGGCGTTTAAATTAATGTTACTTTCTCAACATTGACTGTTATAGCAATATTAACACTTTAATCTTTATTATTATTCATCCTAATTAATTTTTGTTGCAATATTATTCTTAATGTTTTTGCATACGTTTTCATATTTCATATAAGAATTAATGTTCTGTGATAGACATTGAATTGAGAAGACCTTGAATGCAAGCATGCTCATCCATAAAACTCATCAAAGCACCTTGTTCTATTATCTGTTCCCCAGTTTATACTCATTTATAGAATAATTCTTAGAATAAATGAGATAATCCTGTGTATGCTATTTGGAGCTATACAAGTGTGCTTGATGTTTCAGAGTTTTTAATAATTTTCTATGGATTTCTTTGGTCTGCATACAAGTATGGATTTATTTAGGGTGCATATAGAAAGCACAATCCAATATTTTTCAGTATGAACATGTTGATAATAATAGCAAGCAGAGAGCTGTAGCACAATTGTAGCTTCTTCTACATACTATAAATGCAGTAAAAGAGACCTCTTTATTTGTACAGAATATTTCCAAATGACTGAAAAAGGAAAGTGGTTATATTTTATGCTTTCTATCACAGTATTTAATGCATCCTTGAGCAAAGTTTTATTTTTATTTGTGTTTGTGCTGACCAGAAAAATTACATTAACTGTTTGCATTGATAGAATTAAACATAAACAGTTCAAGTATTGTAGTTTTTTTTTATGTAATTGATGGTAGCTAATGTTATCGTAATTGATTAAATATTAAATAGCGTGTCTGGTTTCCACATTATGCATGCTGGCATAGGTCCACCTACGAAATATATCCACTGTTTGAAATACATGATCAATACAAATTTGTGTAACGTGGACTAAAGTGCTACTTTTTGAACTAGTTCTTCTCAAGTACCGTATGCCAACATTTCCTAAAACAGACTGGCTGCCAAAAAAAAAAAAAAAAAAACATCTAGGAACTCTCTCTTCATTTGAAAGGATTTTAAAGTCTTTAGAGTAAAAGAGGACTGCAGAGCAGTGTATTCATGGACATTAGAAATTTGGATATACGATATTTGATTTCTTGAATATCCAGTGTCAAAATTGGAAATGGGAAAGTATTACAAACAGAGGGAAAACATTTTTTTTTTAAATTTGGAAAGATACTCTGTAGAGTATTGTCATGTCTAAGAGATCAGACTTCCAATTGGTTGAAAAAATGAGTGATTATAATCATGTAGTTAAGACCGATTAAATTGTAACTGAGCAAATTGATCATATATGTTTTATGTGGTAGAGAGAGTAACTATAAAACGTGTGAGCTCTAATTGTTAACAAGGTTTCCCTTTGTAGCCACATATTGTTTCACCTTCCAGTATTAATTTTATTGTGTCCTATTTTGTAAAATTAAATTGCATTCACCTGTCAGATGCAATGCTTCTAAGATGAAATGGCTGAAATGGCAAATTGAAACTGCTTGCCTACATTCAGCATATTTAGCAAATAGCTATTAAATGTCTTGAATGCTATAATGATAGCTGCAATTTTAAAATTCTCTTTCCCTGAAGTATACATTTAAACTAAATACTAACGGTGATAGTAAAGGTTTTTAATCATTGGCTAGGAGACTTCCTGCTCAGAGCAAACAGCATCTATCTCTAAAATGGAGATCCACTGTTTAGTTTTCCATTTAATCTGTTTGGATAAAAGACTATACCTTTATTTATTTATTTATTTATGGGACTTATATACCGCTTTAAGTGCAAGCACTCTCTAAGCGGTGTACACCAGTAAGCAATGTATATATGTATTTACATTGCCCCCAACAATCTGGGTCCTCATTTTACCTATCCCGGAAGGATGGAAGGCTGAGTCAACCTTGAGCCGGTGAGATTTGAACCGCTGACCTGCTGAACAGTCAGCTAAAGTGGCCTGCAGTACTGCACTCTAACTGCTGCGCCACCTCGGCTCATATCCTTGATCCTTATTTTGGTGAGAAATCAATAAGAAAAATATCCTTTGTTTGTTTTGGGTTCACCTGCTGATGACTGCACTGACACGTGTGTTGGCAACAATACAGCAACCCTTTTTCCAGATCTTTTTTTTTTTTAAGTTTTCAAGTTTAGTTCATGGCATGGCATGGAATAACAAATGGTAGTCTTTGGCATGGCTATGATTTTTCCCCTTTCTCTTTCCCTTTTTGTTTATTTCTGATAAAGTATTTCTTTTTTTCTTTTGTATGTTTATTAGTGAAATCTTTTCTTTCCACCCAAGCCCCTAGCAGGGAAGAGCGAGACACCTTTTTATCACGCCTGCTTTCTTTTAACTATTTTTATCCTTTCCTGATTTTATTATAATTTTCCTTTTTTTTATTGTTGTGAGCTACCCAGAATCAGACAGTTGGTGTACAACCTTAATAAATTATTATTTATCCACCAGTTTTGCAACAAATGTGATCACTGTTGGCTTAGAACTACAGATAAAAAAATATTACTGTTTTATTATTTATTATTTATTTTAGCATTTTTTCTCTCACTTCCCCTTCATTGGAATGTATATATGGTTTTGACCATGCTACCCTCTTTTATTATGTTTCTAGTGTTCATAGTTATTTTTTTGGAACATGCCTTTGTGCAACATGGAATGATAGGATTTTGAGGAACTCCTCTATGCTTTTATTTTATCAGTTACACAATTTCCTGTGAGATACAGCAAAAGCATTTACTGATGGTGCATGCAGAAAGAAGCAATAGATAGTTAAGTTAAATTGTTATGTATCTGTGCTAGGTAATCATCTTTTGTGTGATACAGATCTCTTTTTTTTGCTAAACAACAACTTTATAAATGCATCATGTGTAACCTTATTTTGAGGGAAAGATAAGAAATCCAATAAATAATTCACTTTTAGATTTTAATTAATTAAAGCAGTACTAGTTTTCTTAGCATAAATAAATACATTTAAAATCTAGTAACCAGAAGGGTTTTATAGTCCCAATTCTTTATCAAGAGACGACTTTTTCATTGATTGCAAAATTGGAATCAGGTTACAACTACATGTTACATTTTTCTTTTCAAGAAACAAAATAAATATAATTTAATATATGATACTGAAGAAAACTGTAGGTCCTGATAGATTTCTGATTGACTGATATAAAATATACCTATTTAAAATGTCCTATTTGTGGAAGATATATGATAATGCCTTCTTACAATAATTTCTCTAAGCAGGTAAATATACATATTCAAGTTATAGATCAATTTCCTTAAATTCAGCTTATCCATCAGAACGCTAATAACTTTCGATTTCTAAATGATATCATAGAGTTAATTCACTGTAGTTTGAATCTAGGTTATTTGTTTAGATGTTGAGAGAAAGTTTTAAGTTGACTTCTTGGACATTTCTGAAATGTAGTTTTCTTTATTATGGATTCTGACAGAAGTTTACATTTTGGGTAAATTTGATTTATTCAGACCTTAGATCATTAGTGATTATCAAAAATATTTTTAAATTTTTTATTTATTTTATAGTAAATGTTAAGGATTGAGCCAGCGCTATCTGAAGATATTTTGCATTTAGTCATGTGGCCAGCATGACATCATGGAGGGCTGTTACATTTCCACTGAAGTGGTACCTATTTATCTATTTGCGTTTGTATGTATTTGAATTGCTAAGTTGACAGGACCTGGGGCGAGTACATGTGGAGCTCAAGTCTTGAACCTGGGCTTCTGGCTTTCTAGCCAACAAGTTCATTGTCGTAGCTACTGAGCCACCGCACCGCACCACCCCCTAACAACCTTGGTACTGCCAAAGGATTTCACATATTTTCTTAAAGTGTTAGTGGGATTATGTTGGGATCATAATAGGATTCGGCTGTCCTGTCCTGTTGATAGCATCTTTTTTTTTTAACTGAATTCTTTTAAAAAAAAATAGTGTATTTTTGCGTGCTGTGTTTTATCTTTGTTTTTATGAAAAATAGACCATTTATTGAATTTGAGATTCTTTAAATTGATATAATGAATATTTCTCTCTTCTCCTTCTCACATTTTATAGGATCAATTTGATAATTTGGACAAGCACACGCAGTGGGGCATTGATTTCCTGGAAAGATATGCAAAATTTGTTAAAGAAAGGATAGAGATTGAACAGAATTATGCAAAGCAACTGAGGTAAGTTATTTGTAAAATTCTTATGTCTTAAATTTAGATGTTACCTAAAAACCATTGCCTAAATATTGTAATTGTATTGTAAGCAGTTATTACTTTCTATAAATATCTATCTTGATTCCTTTCACTTTAATTCCGTCCACTTTGGCTCAAATAAAGACACGTTTTAGTTCAGTATATGCAAACAAAAGCTTGTGTAACCATACCATACTATGTAAAGAGACCAGAATAGAAATAGACTCTCTTAATCCAAATGCACCAAAATTAGTAGCTTTTTACCTCACTATTGATGACTGCTTACTCATTTGTTCTATTTGAAACATATATTTTTGCATTTTTCCCCATAGAGAAGGTTATGATTGTAGAGATCTGAATTAAAATATAATTGCTCACTTTCTTTCCTGCTGCTTTTCATAGCTTTTCAGTATGTGCTGGAAAAAGAAACCTCCAATTCCTTAGGATTTCCTCTGTTATTTTTCATTGGATTACATTCTTCTGACCTTGATAGAATAGTAAAGGGAATTTATTATAGTTTTTTTATTATGACAGGAAATTGAAAATATTGCAAGTTGTAAATATGTTCATTAGGATTTAGCAACAGATGTAAGAACCAGTAGTGACTGTACTTTATTTTGTTTTAAATGTTCATTGTTTTCCTGTAGTCAAGGAATACTGTTGTTTTTATATAATGGTAGGAATCCTACTTGAGAGCTGAAAATGTAAGCTGGTTGTTGAAACATTTAGAAACATTTACTCTGGAAAGCACAATCTAGAAGCAAACTCTTTATTAATGCTGATACATTTCTTTCCAGATTGATGATTTTTACATTGATCTTTGAAGATAATATTGTGAGCAGTGGATTTTTCCCTAATTATAAATTTCAGAACATTCTCCCAGTTCTGTTTCCTTTTTTAAATAACAAATTTTGTTAATGTCCATTTCAATTAATTTATGTTTTTGTATTCTCATTTAGCTTCATTTCCATTTTTGCAATATTCTCATACTTCCTTCTGTTTAGAGCAGTGCTTCTCAAAACTGGGTAAATTACCCAAAATTGGGTAAAAGTGGTTTTTCTTTGGGTACCAAATGTAATCACAACACGGACACTTAAATAAGGATTTTCTGATAAGCAGTTTTGGAAATGATGGGAAAAGTTTGGGAAGCACTGATTTAGATAATTACCACTTAATTTTTATATTTCTGTGTTTATTACAGTGATAAGCATATCAATTAATACATTTTAAACAGTTTCCCCATGTGGAACTTATATTGTATATTCTGTGTTGGGCTAGTCCAGGGGTAGGCAACCTTGGCTCTTTTATGACTTGTGGACTTCAGCTCCCAGAATTCCTTAGCCAGCCATACTGAGGGGAAAGGGAGAGTTTCCAAGCTGAGCCATGCTGGCTCAGGAATTCTGGGAGTTGAAGTCCATGAGTCATAAAAGAGCCAAAGTTGCCTACCCCTGGGCTAGTCAATGTCACAAATAATAGTAAGTGACAATATGCCACACAAATGTATGTTCCTCTTGCTTATTCCATTGTTTACTAAAGTTGAGAATGCTGACTTTCAACTTGAATATCATCTAATTTAAGTAATTATTCTGAGATATGTACAGGGAGCCCTCTGGCTATGACCAAAATTGGGACCACAATTTCCCTTATACGATGGGGGGGGGAATTATTTGATCCCCTGCTGATTTGGTATATTTGCCCACTGACAAAGAAATATCAATCTATAATTTTAATGGTAGGTTTATTTTTAACAGTGAGAGACAGAATAACAACAAAAAATGTATTTTAAAAGTTATAAATTGATTTGCATTTTAATGAATGAAAGAAGTATTTGACCCCTTTGCAAAACATGACTTAATACTTGGTGATAAAACCCTTATTGGCAATCCCAGAGATTACACGTTTCTTGTAGTTGGCCACTAGGTTTGCACACATCTCAGGAGGGATTTTGTCCCACTCCTCTCTGTAGATCCTCTCCAAGTCATTAAGATTTCGAGGCTGATGTTTGGCAGCTCGAACCTTCAGCTCCCTCCACAGATTTTCTATGGGATTAAGGTCTGGAGAGTGACTAGGCCACTCCAGGACCTTAATGTGCTTCTTCTTCAGCCACTCCTTTGTTCCCTTGGCTGTGTGATTTTGGGTCATTGCCGTGCTGGAATACCCATCCACGACCCATTTTCAATGCCCTGGCTGAGGAAGGAGGTTTCACCCAAGATTTGACGATACATGGCCCTATCCATCGTCCTTTTGATGTGGTGAAGTTATCCTGTCCCCTTAGCAGAAAAACACCCCCAAAGTATAATGTTTCCACCTCCATGTTTGACGGTGGGGATGGTATTCTTGGAGTCATAGGCAGCATTCCTTCTCCAAACATGGCGAGTTGAGTTGATGCCAAAGAGTGGCACAACACCTGACCACAACACTTTCACCCAGTTCTCCTCTGAATCATTCAGATATTCATTGGCAAACTTCAGACACGCCTCTACATGTGCTTTCTTGAGCAGGGGGACTTTGCGGGCACTGCAGTATTTCAGTCCTTCATGGCGTAGTGTGTTACCAATTGTTTTCTTGGTGACTATGGTCTCAGCTGCCTTGAGATAATTGACAGGATCCTCCTGTGTAGTTCTGGCTGATTCCTCACCGTTCTCATGATCATTGAAACTCCACCAGGTGAGATCTTGCATGGAGCCCCAGACCAAGGGAGATTGACAGTTATTTTATGTTTCTTCCATTTGCAAATAATTGCACCAACTGTTGTCACCTTCTCACCAAGCTGCTTGGCAATAGTCTTGTAGGCCATTCCAGCCTTGTGTAGGTCTATAATCTTGTCCCTGACATCCTTGGACAGCTCTTTGGTCTTGGCCATGGTGGAGAGTTTGAAGTCTGGTTGATGGATTGTTTCTGTGGACAGGTATCTTTTATATAGGTAACAAGCTGTGATTAGGACCACTCCCTTTAACAGAGAGCCAGAAATCTTGCTGATTGATAGGGGATCAGATACTCCTTTCACTCATTAAAATGCAAATCAATTTATAACTTTTTTGAAATGCATTTTTCTGGATTTTTTTGTTGTTACTCTCTGTCTAACTGTTAAAATAAACCTACTATTAAAATTATAGACTGATCATTTCTTTGTCAGTGGGCAAATGTACAAAATCATCAGGGGATCAAATAATTCCCCCCCCCACTGTAAATCAGTGTAGTTGTGTTATGTGTCTGCATCGGCTTACGACAGCAAACCTGGCTCTTCCCAATATGGTTATTAATCAAGAATCCCATGTTGTTAAATGAATGTCCATCCACAATCCAACCCAAGCTTTGATAAGATAAGAGACTTATTCCAATTCCCCCACCCGCCTCTCTCCTATCCCAGTTCTGTCCTTTTGGCCACCCTGCCTTGAGAGGTGACAAACAGTCCCAAAACTGTGTGATACTGTGGCTACTTGCCATGCCCAAGGAAGCCTCAACAAGCACCAGGTGGCGCAGCAGTTAGAGTGCAGTACTGCAGGCCACTTTAGCTGACTGTGTTCAGCAGGTCAGCGGTTCAAATCTCACCGGCTCAAGGTTGACTCAGCCTTCCATCCTTCCGAGGTAGGTAAAATGAGGACCCAGATTGTTGGGGGCAATGTAAATATATATATACATTGCTTACTGGTGTACACCGCTTAGAGAGTGCTTGCACTTAAAGCGGTATATAAGTCTCATAAATAAATAAATAAATAAATAAATAATTTTCCCAGTTGCTTTTTCTCCCAAGGCCCATGGGGCCCCCTAGCCCACTCCCACAAGCAAGCCGCAAGCATTCATTTGCTCCCAGCAATCAGTCAACCACCCAGTTGCCTTCTCTCCCAGTTTCCCACACCAAACTTTCACCTTTTGTGCATAACACCTCATCACTTCAGAAATGGGGGTGGGGGGTGGGGAGGGAAGATTTCCAAAGACAGCACAGCTTTAGCCAGTTTGGAAAACCATGTTGTCTTCAGAAAGGCTTCCAAAGATGGTGCAGCTTCTGCCGCTTTAGAAATGGGGAAGGGGTTGAAAGATTTCCAAAGACAACACATCTTTCTGAAGTGGCTACAGCTGGATGCCAAAGGCAAAACATTGATGCATGAAAGCGTCTATAATGTAATATAGATGTCTCTAGAAAGAATTGCACATAGTCCTCAACTTACAACCATTCGTTTAGCAACCATTCAAAAGTTACAGCGGCACTGAAAAACATGACTTAGACCAGTTCTCACAGTCATTGCAACATCCCCACAGTTTTGTGATTAAAATTTGGATGCTTGGCAACCAACATGTATTTACATAGTTACATAGTTGCAGCATCCAGAGGTCATGTTATCACCATTTATAACCTTCCCAGCCAACTTCTGAACAGCAAAGTCATAGGGGGGAGTCAAATTCACTTAACGACTACGTGATTCAAGGGGAGAACCAACTTAGAACGAAGGAGAAATTTCCTGACAGTTAGAACAATTAACCAGTAGAACAACTTGCCTCCAGAAGTTGTGGGTGCTCCAACACTGGAAGTTTTTAAGAAGAGACTGGACAGCTATTTGTCTGAAATGGTATAGGGTTTTCTGCTTGAGCAGGTGGTTGGACTGGAGAACCTCCAAGGTCCCTTCCAACTCTGCTATTCTTAATTGTGACAAAAGGTTGTAGAATTGGGCAAAAAAGGTTGCACCACTAATTCAACCGCCTTGCTTAGCACTGTAAGTTCTGGACTCAATTGGGATTGTAAATTGATGAATATTGAACTTGATTTTGAAGATGAAGAAAGTTATTTAACTAATCCTGTTGAGTTGGAAACTATATAGTTTGTGCATAGCCAAATGAAGTTTTAGTTACCTAAATTACTATATTTAGAAAGTTTGGCAAGATTTCTAGATACTTTACTAGCATGAATTCTAAATTGAAAGCAAATGTGGTTTCTTGTTTCTCAAGTATGTTTTTCTTTAATTGAAACTGAAAACATAAGACATTGATTCTGATCCAAATGTAGATGTGGCAGACTCTCATTCAGCAATTGTACAGATGAATTCATATTCTGGAGAGATTCGTGCTGAAAAACCTATCATTCCATAGGTAATTGCTCCCAGAATAAAATGACACTTTATTGTCAACTGCTTTTCTCTAAATATTCCAGAGAAAGAAACTTTTAAAAATGATACTCTGTCCTCAGTTACTTTGAACCACTAAGGTGTGCAAAATATTTCAATTTAAACCATTTTGAACGCTAAACAATTTAAACCCATTTAAAACATGTTCAGAAATGTTTTGAGCTGGAAATGAAATTGGTATGAGTGCAAAACCATTTCCAAAATGCTTAAAACTAGCCTGCTTTGCAAAAGTTTCATGCTCAAAATGGCTTAAAATGAAATGTTTTACATACCTCTTCTATCTGCTTATGGACTAATATTTTACTTACCTGTGAAAATTGATTAAAATGTAATATAATAAAAGTGTGTTGAGATAGAAAACCAGCCTGGCCTACCAAAATAAACACAAATGAACAGTGTTTTTAATGTATTTCTGTTCTGATCAGTAACTGTAATAAAAACTCTAATCTACTCCTACTTCTACTCTACAGCTACTCTACTACTCTACTCTAAATAAAAACAAAATAAATAAACTTTGGGAAAGGTGAATTTACAGTAACGATAAAGCTAAAAAGTTCTTCACACCTCCACTGGACTGTCTGCACCTCCACAAAGGAGGTAAATCTCACAGTCTGGGAAACGCTGAGTTATAGTATTCTACTATTCTCAAAACAGTGATGCCAAAAACAACACTAGGGAAAAGATTGTGAGAAATGAATGATATCTTGTAAGTAGCCTATAAAATGTGGGTGAGTTATCCCAGGCGGGTCTCCATTAAAGACTCTTGTGAAAGAAGTCCATGAGTTCCACATTGCCCTAAGAATTTTTTGACATGTGTTTAATATTATACAAGACTCTCCCAGGCATTAAGAAAGTCAATATATAGCAAAGTGTGTTCACCCATATATGTCTTAAAGGCATAGATGGAAAATCTTAGTATCTGTTTTAACAGATTAAATGTTCGTCAACATTTTCCCATGGCCTTTTACAGCCATGTAGAAAGTGTTCAACATCTGTTAACCATTTATATCAGGCATCCTTCCACGGTTGCCCTTTGTGAGAAAAGTTTCTTATTGTCATCAGTTCTTTCTTAATTTTGAATAATTCATTAAATCCTCTCTGCTAACTTTCCCACTTTCTTTTTGCTACTGGTGAAGTGTGAATATTGTAGTGTTTAAGTGCCGGGTAATTTTCTTATATCTAAAAACTAGATGAGGGTTAAATTTAAATTTAGTCCAAGGAAGAATGATTTATTTTATGTTCTTAGTATATCACTTGAGGAAATGAAATAGATTTCCTGCTGTAAAATGTGAAATGTATACCATTATTCCTTTGTGGGGATATTTATGAGCAATCTGGTTAACTTGAGGCCACTGGAATCTTTGGAATTTCTGCTGTATTCTTTTAGTGTCAGTCTTCTGCCGCTGCTATTCTTTACCATCTTGTGGGAAATGGCTTGTTATGGTTGAAAAAAAGCCATGTCTTTACTACTCTGGGAAAAGACAGTAAAAACGCTGCTGAATTTGCAATTATAAATTAATTAGTCAGTCTGTGCATAGAAAATTCTGTTTTTTTCCTTTTGGCTTCATTTTAACATTGTGACCTTACACAGAAAGAAAATACGGCAAATTAGTTTGATCTAATACAGGTAGTCTTTGTGTTATGACAGCTGTTGGAACTGGAATTTTAGTTGCTAAGCAAAGCGGTTGTAAAAAATGACATCATGTGACCACATTGCTTAACAATAGCAATCCCTGTAATTAACAAGGACCACATGAGTCATTAAGTGAGGACATCATGTGACCACAACATGGAAAGAGACGAGAATCCAGGACAGCTTGCTTATGCCACTGAAACTATGTTCCAGGCCAGTGAGTGGTTGCAAATGGCAATCGTGACTGGGACACTGCAACTTTTGTAATTGTGAGCCAATTGCCAAGTGCCCAGACCATGTTCATGTAATCTTGGAGATGTATGATGGCCACAACTTTGTAACTTTGAACTGTCATTGAACGAGCGGTCACTAAGAGAGGACAAGCTGCAGTTATTCAAGAGTGGAATAATTTTTACTTTTTTATATAATTTGTTTTATTTTAAACAATGTAATTTACATAATATAAACAATGTATGCAAATATAAATAAACTCATGCTGGGCAACTTAATTGTGTTATTTTTCTAACTCAGGCAGATTCTTAGGCTCATCTCGCCCCTTTTTAAAGCCCATTTCTCTCTCTCTCTCTCTCTCTCTCTCTCTCTCTCTCTCTCTCTCTCTCTCTCTCTCTTTCTTTCTCTTTCTCTCTCTAACAGAAATCTGGTGAAGAAATACTGTCCTAAACGTTCATCCAAAGACGAAGAGCCCAGGTAATATGAATATGAAATATATATGGATCTTGGTCTAATCCCAGTATCAGGATTGTTGGGATTTAAATGTTTAAGCCAAGTACATTTTTCATAGGTAATTATTTTATAATAAGGTAAAGATATCTGGATTAATGTGACTTCCAAATTCTGGTACATTCAAGACCCGATGAGTTGAGAAAAGTAGCATAATTTATGAGATCTATTTTTAAGAAGTAATATCTTTGTTCTTCCTTTCCATACATTTTTCTCCTTTCTTTTCCTCCATTCAGTTCTAAACCTGTAAGCCTCCCTACGTATTATGTCAGAATAACGTAACATATTTGACCTGACCCAAGTGTCCGACCCTTCATGATGTAGCAAACACGCTCATTCACAGGGTACACCTGAATGATATGTCCCATTTTCCAGATGAAGTGAATCATTTCTGCATCAAGCTTAGTTTTCCTTGTAATTTTAAATTTATTCCTACAATCTGTCTTTTCATTTCACATCTTAGTAAATGCTTCTATTCTGCAGGGCCTTTGGGCGGTATTCTTTATTTTCTCCCTGCATAAATTCCTGTTGATCTTACCTTCTCTAATGAGAAGTGGTTTGGGTATTTGTGTTTTACCTCTTTCTCTGAGATTCATTTTTTTAAAGGTCTTCACAGCATGCTAGATTATGATATGTTCCTTTCCTTGTTTTGTTAAAGAAAAGCAGTTGTACACCCACAGTAATAATGAAATATCTTTTTTGTTTATTTTCTGTATTCTGCCAGGTTTACCTCATGTATAGCCTTTTATAATATTCTTAATGAATTAAATGACTACGCAGGACAACGTGAAGTAGTAGCAGAAGAACTGGGACATAGGGTATATGGAGAACTGATGAGATATTCCCACGAACTCAAAACAGAAAGGAAACTGGTAAGAGGATGGGGGTGGAAGATCCAAGTTACTGTTTTGCTGAACTACTTATGAATGTCAGGACAATTTAATTATTTGTTTTCTCGAAAACAGCAAAAATTATTAGGTCTCTCTCCTGCTGGGCTTGTACATAGATCTTCGTGTAGTTCTGCATTATTCTGTTGCAAAAATGCAGCAAAAATATGCTTGCCTTTAAGATTCTAAAATATAGCCCATTTAAATGTATTTTGTTTTCTGATTTGTATTTTATTAAAATGCACACACACACACACACACACACACACACACACACACACACAACTTCAGTGGAGCTGATTCCTTGAAACAAACTTCTGATCACAGCCTTGATTGTTTTGTAGGTCCTCAGCAAGCTTCTTCTAGATTTATATGTTATTTAGTAGCTAATATATTTGAGGACTTTTAGAAATATTACAGTTTAAAAATATGAAGGTGCTGTTATATACTTAAGACGGGTTTTTTTTTCAGCTGTAGGAATGTAGCAGTAAAACCTGATATCAGTGCTCAGCAATCCATGCAATTATATAAACCACATAGTTACACACATTGTAGTTCCTTCCATTGCATCTCTTAAATTATTGGTCTCTATAAATTATGGCATCTTTTACATCTTTGGAAGAAAGAAAACAATGGATGAGCGCATATCAATAATGTTAAAATCATGATGCTTCTGTTGTGATTTACATTCTTGTTTGGCATTCTGTTTTACCTTGTGTGTGTGTGTGTGTGTGTGTGTGTGTGTGTGTGTGTATGTATCATTTTGTAAGATTAAGCTGAACAGTTTTAAAAGCAAGATGAGGTTTGTAAAACATCTTTTTTATTATATTCCAGCACCTTCAAGAGGGCCGAAAAGCACAACAGTATCTTGACATGTGTTGGAAGCAGATGGATAATGTGAGTTTTCTTTTATTCCTTTTCTGGTTTCTTTAGGGTTGCATAGTTTTATGGATGACTGATGCCAGAGTGAAGACATAATGAATGAACTTGTTTATCACTGAGCAATCACAGTGCTTTCATTGTTCAATAGCCAAGATGGATTGTTATGTTTGTTAGATCATTACAGTGCTAATTCCTCAGTTAGTAATATCTGCAGGAATATGACTTTAATAGATTTACTGACTAGATTTCAGCTGTAATAAAATATATTAGTCTTGCCTAGTCTTGGAGTTCTTAAGCAGGAATTTATTTTGGTAGACCAGAGGCTTACTTTTAATTAAATCTTGAGAATCATATCTTCCCTTGTTATTTAATATTCTTTTGAGTTACTTTAAGATGATTTTTTTATGAATTAGCCTCAAAATATTGGATATTATAGTTATAAAATTAAAGGAAAGTTGATGGAGTTACATAATGTTCCATAATTATTTTAGGCAAAAATCAAATCATTTGACCCATGTCTTTCTAAAAGAATGTACTATGAAGGAGACAAGTAATGATAATGGTAAGCCTAACATTTATACAGAGCTGTTCTCTAGTATACAAACTGCTCTATAAAAAAAATCTATTAATGATCTCTACTGCTGATGATATACTGTATTTCAGATGCAGGACATTTCTGTGCTATATATGAGCTTTCAAGAATGAAAATGCTAGGCCAATGGTCTCTAACCCTCTGGTCCGTGGAAAACTCTTTCTCCATGGAACCGGACCCTGATGCCCAAAAGATTGAGGGCCTCTGGACTGGGATGTTCAGACTAGTTGTTCACGTCGTCTTAATTAGTGTTTGTGTGTGTATTTGTGTGTGCTTATAGATACATTACTCTTGTTAGCCTCTTATTATTAGTTCTTGTAATGATATGGTTTATGTGATGTATTGAGGATAGAATAACTTTTTCAGACAGATGGAGAAAGCAAATACTTTTATGTATAGGACCTGCCATGATGCTATTCACACAGAAGAGCGGATTATTCAAGGTTAAATTAGGGGAATCAATAGCTAGCAAATGGATAGAGCTTCCTAAAATAATGGGGAATGCAATAAGTAATAGTCTTGCTAATCTTAATGTTCTTTTATTTCTAGCGTTGGACGAATACATGGTTGAGAGGGTAGAGGATTTTAAAATCTAAAAATTAAACAATTACAAAATGAAATGCTCACTGGTTAAAGGGCAGTAATGTGTGCAGAATACTTTTCATTTTCATCAAAAGAGCATGGATCTGAATTGTAATTGTGAGAGTAGTACAGGCAATGTGATAAGTTGTATTGATTCATAACTATGTCATTGCATTGTAGAGCAAAAAGAAATTTGAAAGAGAGTGCAAAGAAGCAGAAAAGGCACAGCAATGTTATGAGAGACTGGACAATGATACCAACGCCACTAAAGCAGATGTTGAAAAAGTAAGATATTGTTATTGGAAAATAAGAGTTTGCATGGCTGTATCTGGAAATGTTGTTTGTTGAACAAATACAGTATTTTGACCATCAAATGTGGATATCAAAGTGTGTTGAATTAGCCGAGTTTCAGCCATCACATTTTTTTTATTTTTTTCAAATTATGGTTTGAAAATTACAGTTCTGAAATGTTCTGATTGCAAAATTTCATGAAATGTCCCATTTTGTTGGTAAAACGGCTGGGAAAGCTTGAAACAATCTGTTTTATATTTGAAAGAGAAGTTTCCACACATGTGGCAGGACCTTCTGTGAAATGTCACGCACAAAACCTTTTAAAATGCAACTATTATAGTCCTGTGCTCGAGCCACTCTTGAGCTTTCTTGTTTTCTCATGGATCGAGCTGCAGATTGTGCTTATAAATCCAAAGCAATAAAATGTGACTTGGGCAAATATTCCACATGAAGATTGAAGGCCAGAATTAGTCTACTGAATATTTATCTAAACCAGTTTGCTGTTTCAGATTTCACAGCAGGCCTTTGCTTAATCATGTCCCTGAAACTTACTTACTTAAATATTTTTTAATCTTTAATTTTATTTTAAATACAAAAATACTATGGATAATACTCAGTATGAAGGCTTTAAAATATTAAAATCATGTTAAGAAACTTCATGCAATGTCTTATTTACTTGTATAGTCTTGTATAGGACATTTTATTGTAATTGAATAAAAGCCATAAGTAAAGGTGCAGCATTTTTAATAAAAGGTCTTAAGCATTTGCAATTTTTATCTAAGTTTGCTACCTCTCATTACATGTCTGTAATGTTTGTTTTTATACATTGAGGTACCATGTTTCTCATTAGATTTACAGTTAGTGATTTTTAATATCATAATTTATTAATTCTTATTCTTTATTCCCAAAAGAAAACTATTTTGCCTTATAAAACTCATTACAATAGGAGTCAGTTCTGTTGCAGGAATATGCTTTTCTGCTTGTGTTGGTGGGATTTCTCCCCTTTTTTGTATCTATCCACACATAGATACAAAATTAATATTGTTGTGACTATTTTCTCATAATACTAGTAGATTTGTGCAAGGTTTGTTTCCTTGGTAAGTCAGCATAAGTTTCTGCAGATGGACAGAAAGGATCACCTAATAAACCATTCGTTATAAAGCTTACTTTCCTTTTTTTGTACTTGCATTACCTAAGGAGCAAAACTTGTGTTAAGACATCGCAATATATATTTTTGTCATTTTGATGACCGTTTGGCTTGCTGCAAATGCTCCTGCAAGGTAGTCTTTCCTGTTTAGTTTACTTTGTAAATGCATTAGTTGAAAGTACCACTAAAACAATGACATGATTTGAAACAACTACCGTAAATGCCGGCATACAAGGCGACCTGGCGTATAAGACGACCCCCGTCGTCTTATACGCCGGAAACTACCAGTATTTCCGGCGTATAAGACGACTCGGCGTATAAGACGACCCCTGTCTTTGGTGCCGATTTCAGCGCTCGCGGAAGTCGCCTTATACGCCGGCATTTACGGTACCTGTTAAAATCAAAAGCTTTATATATATATATATAGAGAGAGAGGTTAACTTCATAGTTGAGAAACAGTTTCTAAATGTTACAAATGTTAATGAGAGGATATATTGGACACTAAGATGTCATAGGTAATTAAAGATAATGAGTATGCTGCTGAGTAAGAATTTCTTTTAAAAATAATTTAAAACTGTTATTGACCTGTCCCCGTTGTTTAGGCAAAGCAGCAACTAAACCTGCGTACACATATGGCTGATGAAAATAAAAATGAATATGCTGCACAGCTCCAAAATTTCAATGGTGAACAGCACAAGCATTTCTATATTGTCATTCCTCAAATATATAAGGTATGTTTTTCATCTAAATGAACTTGGTCATTGAAGAGTGTGAAAGTAAATTTCTACAAGTTTTCAATAGGAACTTGAGTTATCTAGGTTTTTTCTTTGTCTATCTCCCTAAAACACACAAACACTCTCTCTTCTATCATTTATTCTTCTAGATTCTGTTTTATTTAAATTTATATAATTTATTTTATAAATTATATAATTACTGTGTGGTTTTAAATATAGAATATAATTCTAAAAGTAAATAATGCCCAACCACCTATGTGTTGTATTTGTAAGATTTGAAAATGTTTTAGAAACCAGCAAAAAACTAACTAGTTAATTATGGCATACGTTTTTACAGTGTTTGTAATAAATATGTTAGTTCTTAAATTATTCTTTCTTTTTTATTACCACAATCTTAGGTTTCATATACAAATCACGACTTTAATTATTGATGACTGTAGTTAATACTTTCCAATTCTAATTGATTTTAGAAGGCATTAGCTGAATGTGAATACCATTTGTAGAAATGAGTAAGGTTTGGTGAAATAAAGACCCCCTAATAATACATTTAGTATATTTAGTTCACTAACAAATTGTACACATGATAATTATAGGGAGGACAAAGTCCCACCGTATTTGGAATGTTACTATAAAGATGCTCAGTCTCTCCTTTATTACTTAGCACCTTCAAGAAATGGATGAACGACGAACCATCAAACTTAGTGAATGTTATAAAGGATTTGCAGATTCTGAGCGGAAAGTTATTCCAATAATCTCAAAATGTTTAGAAGGAATGATTGCTGCAGCCAAATCAGTTGATGATCGCAGGGTAAGTTAAATTTGTTTTTCATAGTTCAGTGCTAGTATTAAGCACATTGCTATGGAAGTAAATCTAATCTTGTAGATTACAATCACATTATATCTTAACTAGAGCCTATGTTGGTCAAGCTTATGCAGCTTAAGTCCCATAAAGCAAAATACAGTCAGTCTGATATGTTGTTTTCCATGAAATCAATAGCTTTCTTCTCTCTTTTCCCAACAAATAATTTTCCACACTTAATACCCAAATTGCATTGGACAACAATGTATGCCAGAGAGGATATTGGTATTGCTGCATGAGAGAACTTTATCTAAATGGGATGGCAGGAAGTAACGATCTCAAAATCCCTCTCCCCCCCCCCCCTCTCTCTCTCTCTCTCACACACACACACACACACACACACACACACGGTTGGCTTAGTCTCTGTTCCTGGAGTTGCTAAAAGAGGACAGATTGTATTGTTTCCAATCCAACTCCAGCAGATATGGCAGCCAGTCTTATTAGTGGGGTTTCAGGTTTGCATATCTGATTATTGTTAATTAAAGAAATATACCATGTTTCATTGATATTTTTATCTCTCTAAGCACTGTGGCTATTTAATATTGCCTGTTTAGAAAAAAATAACAGTCTAATATTTTTACATATGCCAAAAGGAGACTATTGGATTTTGGTAGTATAATGGGCAGAAGGAATAACCTTGAGAGACTGGAGGAAGAGCTGCAACCTAGACAGTGGTCAGTTAAAAAACAAACAAAAATCTGAGTTCAAACCAGAAATGTGTTGTGAGGAATCACCTCAGAATTGATCCTTCCTAGTTCTCTGGAACATAAAATCGGGGGAGGGGTGGTATTAGTATTCATGATTTTGGTTTCCTGATCAGGAGTGCCTTGAAGGACTGATAGTCTTTAAGTGTAATATTAGTTAAATGCGATATTTAAGCCATTAACTCTGTAAATTTCTCTCATAAAGGATTCTCAAATAGTAATAGACTCCTTTAAGTCTGGCTTTGAACCTCCTGGAGATTTTCCATTTGAAGATTACAGTCAACACATTTATAGGACTGTTTCTGATGGAACAATTAGTACCCCGAAACAGGAAGGAATGAAAATCGATGCAAAAACCACTGTGGGCAAAACTAAGGGCAAACTCTGGCTCTTTGGAAAGAAACCAAAGGTAAAGAAAATTGAAATGTATCCTATGATTGCACATTCAAGGTTGTAATTCGGTGTTTAAATGTTACCTTTTGCAACAGAATAATCAGATTGATTTTTGTGGCAAAACTATTCATTTTAGAAACTGGGTTCTAGTATGTTCCAGAGTATAACTGTGCTATTATGAACATTTTGGTCTCCCATCCCTACATAATTCAACTATGGCATTCCAGCAGCTGAGTCCCAGCAAGTCAAAAGCATATACTGTGACTGATTAGGACTATAAATACAAAAATTCCCCTGGAATTGTAAAAATATTGTAATCCATACCAGACAGTGACTTGGCCAGAAACTCTTATAGCTGATCTGAACAGTTGTAGCAGCCTCTGTAGTTGTTGCTGAACTGTTACATCATGCAATATCTTGCTATCCATGTGGAATTATACTTGTTGAAATAGAAGTGTTCTGGTGGACTGGAGAGAAATTAATAAGCACAATCGGTTGAGGGTTTTAACTTACATGATAAATGTAGTACAGATAAGAGTATAGTTTGTTTAAGCTTTGTTTGTCTTGGTGAAGCTTTGTTGAGTATGGTTTCATATTTATAAGATAAAACTTGTGAAAAAGTGAATATTGTTGAGAAGTGGGTGACCTGAAGGTTCAAATGGAAGTTAGTGTTAATTCCTTTCGAAGTATGAAAAACTAATAATATTAAGTCTAAGTTGACCTTATAACTGTAGATATTGTTGACATTGGGATAAGCAATTGAATTATGGTGGATTGTATGGGAAATTTGTGCAGAAAATGTTAATACTTCAGATCAGGCTTGTCCAACCTGTGAGCCACATTTGGCCCTGGGCAGCTAGTAATGCAGCCCAAAATACTGTAAACTTTTAATATTATTATGTGAATTTATGTATATTAACTATATTGTATATTTATATGCAGCCCAAGACACTACCTCTTCACCAGTGCAGTCCAGGCAAGCTAAAAGGTTGAACATGCCAGCTTTAGATGAAAGAATGCCATTGTAAATTCTGACTGCATGGTGTATTTCTATTAATATTTGAAGCCGCTGGTTTCATGTATCGTTAAAATGGACATCCAAATTTGGGATAAAATAAGTTTTTAATTTCATTTTTTCATAGCAAGAAGCAAATGACACCACATGTATAAATAAAATATCAATGCCTATTGTATATATTTCCTTTTATGACCGAAGTTTATTGGTGTGTTTTTGAGTTAGTCCCAAAGGATAGCTTTCATTGTGATTTTGAAATTCTTGTGAGCTCAGTGTGGTGTCTTTATCATTTTGGTAGTTAAAAACAAGAGCTTTGTGATACCTTAAATATTATAAATTATTTTTATTATGATATAGGTTTTATGATGATACATTCTGATGCTGATAATTGTAATGATGAAAATATAAAATGTTATGGGCTTGGATCCAGACTCTGTGTGCTGATATGGAAGATTTTTTTCCCCATTCCCTAAAGTGAATCGTGCAATGGAGGCTATGTAAAGAAGATTATTTTCACATGTTCTCTTTCTCCACCTCCGGTTCCACCTTTCATATTATTTTTAAAGACCTCCAGTCTTCTGAAGTATATTTATGAGAGGATGGTTACTATGGGTTTCAGAAGTAGGGGTCATTTGGTTAAAATCTCCCCTTCCAGTTGTGGGAGCATTCAGTTTGCAGAAATTTGTTCCTTTGTTACTCTGGATCCAACCCATTATTTGTTTCTGTATTGAAAGGAAAAAAGACAGAATTTTCATCACTTTGAATGTTTGCCTTATCTCTTCCTTTCTTTTCATATCAGCCACAGTCCCCACCCCTTACCCCTACTAGTTTATACACGTCCAATACTTCTAATGGTTCCCAGTATCCCATATTCTCCATTGAACAAATGCATTATTGCATGAATGAAATAAAGGCAGGGAAGCCCAGAATGCCTTCTTTCAAAAGCCTCAAAAGAGGGGTAAGTTTTATGAGTTGTATTAGGTGCATGATGGCGTTGTGGTGTGCTTCTATGTGGCTTCCACCATCGTAACTTTTCTATTGGCAGTGGTGTAGTCGACAATCATGTTGCTTAATTCTATGTTGTGAAAAAGCTCTGCTTAGCACCACAATGAATGTTAAATTAAGAAATAGCTGACTCTGATGGTATTACAAAGAAGATGCTGGGTGCATGTTCTCATTGTTTCCTGAGTGTATTTTAATATTGTCATTAATATTAATATAACATTGGGCACTAGAAATTGTTGGTAAGGAAAGAGAAGTGAGATAATTGTTTAAAAAGGGGGTCGATTTCTATCTTGTTTGCTGACTTCTTTAACAAAAGAGGTTTAGATTTTCCGAGAGATTTTAAAAAGTCATGCTGACAGCCACCCGTACTTACTTCAGATGTTTATAATAAATAATTATGAGGAAAAGTAGGTAAAATTATTTTAAAATTCTTTTGTTCCAACCTTCTTCCAAGAAGCTCTGCATGGCAAGTCTGATGATGCATTTCCCCTTGACCCATCCTCTAGGACAGGGCTTTTCAACCAGTGGTACAGGTACCACCTGTGGTACATTAGCACCTGACAGGTGGTACGTGACCATGCTAGAAAAGTGGTAGCGGGGGAGGGGAATCAGCTGAACCGGTGCCAGCACCATACAAGCCTGAGTGAGAGATGGCTGGAGCTGCAGGGCTGTCAGGGCTCAGCGGAAGTGCCAGGATCAGTGCCACTTTCCAGCTGATCGGGGCTGTCAGGGCTCAGTAAAAGTGCCAGGATCAGTGCCAGGCTCTAGCTGGAGCTCGGCACTGATCCTGGCGCTTCTGCTGAGCCCAGAAGAAGTGCCGATCAGCTGGAATGTTGCAGCATCTCCAGGGTCTTATGATTTACGTTCAGGTGCTTGGCAACTGATTCATATTTATGACAGTCACAGTGTCCCAGGGTCATGTGAAGTGACCAAAACCTAATGCAACCACCCAGCAGACGGGTGGAATAAAAATCAAACACCCCCCACCCCACCCCCACTGCCAATCCTCAACAGAAATGCTCACAATAATGAAAACCTTGGACAGGAGGAAGAGTGCCACGGGGGGGGGGGCAGGCCAGTGTCTTGTTCAGCTGTTGCTTGGGGGACACTTTTTCAGTGCCATTGTAACTTCGAACAGTCACTAAGCGAACTTTTGTAAGTTGAAGACTACTTGTACTTTATCAATTTTTTCCTTTTTTGACACCTTGCAAGTTTTTGACACCTTGCTAGGCGACTGGTGGTACTGGATTTTACCATATCCTAAAAGTGGTACAGTGGGTGAAAAGGTTGAAAAGCCCTGCTCTAGGAAGTCTAGGCAAGTCTAGGCGCCGCGCATGGGGGTGCGCATGGGGGCGCCGCCGCGCATGTGCGGCACGCATGGGGCACCGCACATGCGCATAACGTTAGTGTGACGGGGGTCGCCATCACACAAACGTTGAGAACCACTGATTTAGTGACTGTTCAAAGTTACAACATCACTGAAAAAAAGTTGACTTATGACTTTTTCACAATTAACAACCATTGAAGCATCCCCATGGTCACGTGATCACAATTGGGATGCTTGGTAACTGGTTTCATATTTTTGACAGTCGCAATGTTTTGGGGATTACGTGATCATCTTTTGTAACCCTCTGAAAAGCAAAATCAATTGGGAAGCCAGATTCACTTAATAACTGTGTCACTAACTGTTAACAACTGCAGTGATTCACTTAACTGTGGTAACAAAGGTTGAAAAATGAGCCAAAACGTGCTTAACAACTGTCTCATTTAGCAGCAGAAATTTTGGGCTCATTTGTAGTCGTACGTTGTGGGCCTACCTCCATGTTATTACCCTCTAGTGTTAATTTGAGTTTAGCCTTGACAACCTGTGAACTGATTCTGGTTCATGATCAGAGCATATATTTTTAAGTATGCTGTGAATTTTGTATAATGAGTGTTAAAACCCATTATATGCCACCTTGAATATTAGCAGACTTTTTAATTTTTCAGATTATTGATTGTAATGGGATATCTTAAAAGGTTAGCTTCTGAGAAACATATTTTCATTTTTTAAAATATCTTCCTGCACTTTAATAATTCACACACATGTCTGTCTCTTTTCATTTTAATATATAATACTTATTTAAATAACATTTAAATACAGTATTCTTCACTCTAGTGGCTAATTTACGGTTATTTCTTGAAGGACACATTTGTTCACTCATTTATGGATTACTATTACGGGTGCAGTTCAGGAAGTGTGCTTACTAATTTATACTGGCAGATTCTGCAAATGGAGTTTTTTTCTAAGGAAGAAGTAATCTCCAACCAATATTTATTATTCCACGACAAATGAACTAGCATAAGATCATTTTCTCTGAAATACATTCTTTCATATGTGGGAGTCTAATCTGAGTCTTGATAACTAGAAATTTAATGAATTCCCCCTCTATACACACACACTTGCATAGTGGAATCAAAATTATAACACTATATACTTATTATAGTTGATCACGTTGGTGTTGAGAGAAGCAGTTCAGAGTCCAAAGATACCATAAGCGGTTCTAGTTAATTATTAGATAGGTTTTCATTGTAGTAAGCTGATTTGCTCCCTTTTTTCTCTTCTGGCTATGGATTTCTTATAATTTCCTTGTCTTAGATTAGAACGCAGTCATTTTTCCATTCAGCATCTGGTTTTAATCTATAATTCTTGCTCTTTAGCCTAAAAAGTTGCAAATTTTGAACCCAAAAAACCCCTTGCCCATTCATTCAGAACAAATTAGATGATTAGACTTCATTAAAAGCATACATTTGGATTATAATTTTGTTGTTCTTCCACACTTAAGTTTTTCAGATAGATTTTATGAGGCGAGAAAAAGCAAATTTGGCAAGAGTTCTCGTCTCTGGTTGGAATTAAGGATGCTAGAGATGATAAAATATTTCTTAGGCTTCCTTTGTATCTCTGAAGCTTAGCTAGATTCTGCACGCACATTACATCTCATTTTTATATAGCAGTTTTGCATCCAGCATTCTGAGAGAAAATGCTCCTAGCATAATAATTAATGCAGCAAGAGAAACTTATCTTTAATAAGTTTGTAAATCATTAAAAAAAATCACAGTTTATCTCCATTTTCTTAACTATTAATCATGGTGGCTCTGTTGAGAAGATCTATTGAATAACTCCGTATTTGAAAAAAATGATAGCTGGCCAAATTAATAAAATTTAATTTAAGAATACTGTGAGAGTTCTCCAGATGCAACTTTAAGTCTTGAGCATTTATATTTATTTATTAATTTTATATGCTGCCTGCCTCACCATAAAAAAATGAAAGGGACAATCACTGTAAGGGCATTGGCTTTCGTTATGAGGGCTGGAATCTGATCTGATCTGATCTCCCGTACTGTTAATGATTTCGTGTTGTATAAAAATGGAAATATATACAGTCCCATATCATAGCTCAGGAGAGGTTTGTTCATGCCAAATTGGCACACTTCATTTTATTAGCAGTGTTCCAATATCTAAGCGGCTCCACAAAGAAGAGGGGGTCAACCTATTCTCCAAAGCACATGAAGGCAGGACAAGAAGCAATGGATGGAAATTAAGCAAGGAGAGGAGCAATCTAGAATTAAGGAGAAATTATCTGACAGAACAATTAATCAGTGGAACAACTTGACTCCAGAAATTGTGAATGTTCCAACACTGGAAGTTTTTAAGAAGAGATTGGACAACCATTTGTCTGAAATGATATATAGGGTTTCCTGCCTGAGCAGGGGGTTGGATTAGAAGACCTCCAAGGTCCCTTCCAACCACGTTATTCTGAATTCTATGTTTAATTTATAATCAAAATCCTGACTTGAAATAGCATTTTCTATATTGGACAAAATGGCTAAACCCAACAATTCCTGTATCATTCAGAATAAGATAGGACAGGACAGGATCTTGGAGGTCTTCTAGTCCAGCCCCTTTATCATCACCCTTTGGTTATCATTTTTAAAAATAGAAAATAATCAAGGAATGCCATAACTATTATGAGGAACAGGATAATTCAACTACTCTTTTTTCCCCTGAATAAAATGGCATGGACTTTAACTACTCATAGCTTTAGCCATCTATTGATAACTGAACATATCAAAAACAGAGGAAAATACGAGAATGACTTTGCTTTCACTGTTTTCCTATATAGATAAACCTAGCTTAAAAAGGACTAAAGAACTACACGAGACTTAGAATTTGGGAGCTTTGTTTAAATATTGGCATTTTTTTTCAAAGTTAAATAAGCGTATAATCAGGGCTTTTTTTTGTCATAGAACGCCCAGAACGGAGTTCCGGCACCTTTTTTGGATGGAACCGTGTAGGGTAGGCAAGGCGGGTTGTATGACGTATATGAGTTCCGGCACCTTTTTTTTTTTTAAGAAAAAAAGCACTGCATATACTGTAGATTTTGACTCTAAACTTAAGGTCATTGTCATTGTCAAATGCTTCTGCATTGTATAACATTCCCATGTGCTTTTTTTTGGTAGAAATAGTAAAATATCAAAGATATTGTGTACTTCTAAAATGTTAGACCATTGCTTCTGTTTTAAACCATGGCTGCCTGCGACCTCCATGTATGCTATTGCGGTACTTTAGGTAATGCTTAAAATGAGCATAACAATAGAATATTTCATAATAAGGAATGCAGTACTATTTATGCTTGATAGCAAACCCTAATGAATTCAGTGAGAGTTGCTTCTGAATAATATATGCCAGATTAGCTGATATTGGGTGGATATTTTACATTCAAAAATCTTCCTAAATACTGGTTGGAAGTATGCAAATAATTTCCTGTTTCTTTCTGTTTTCAACTAAACTTGGTCAGTGGTCAATGAAGACGGTAAGGCGTGTATACTGTCTACACCTGTCTGCTGTAATTCGTAAAAATAGCATGTAATAGCTTATCCATTTCGTAGTTGCTTTTGAGTCAGTTAGTCAGATGTGTGCATACTTTCGTTTGTCACTTTGTCTCATAGTTCGTTTGTGCTTGCTGTAAACAATTTCCTGCTATTTTATAGATTGTATTACTGGTCTGACAAAGATAGAATTCATCTTACAAAGTAGGATGTGTTTACGCATTGTCTTTATGAAATGAAAATAATTTCACCTAGAGCAATGGTTCTCAACCTTTCTAATGTCGCGACCCCATAATACAGTTCCCCATGTTGTGGTGACCCCCAACCACTTATACATCACTGGGTACCAGGGGCGTGGCCAAAGAAAAGGAAAAAAATGGCAGACAGCCTTGTTTGGCGACCCCCGTGAAATGGTCGTTCGACCCCAAATGGGGTCCCGACCCATAGGTTGAGAACCACTGACCTAGAGCTTACTTGAGCTCTGTTACACAAATTACACTCATTTGAACTGGGTCTGGGGGAAAAAAAATCAGTGTGGCATGATATACCCTAGAATTGTTCTGTTTGAATTACTGAATATTTACAATTATTTGGGGAGGGTGAAGTCCTATTTCTGCATCCAATTCCAGAATAAACAGGGTCTTTCTACATCTTCCCAAAGTGCTCTGAAGTTTTTGAAGATAATAGATGAAGGATACAAGGAGCATTTAGGGAAGAAAAGAGGAAAATTAGTTTTGTATAAGAGGTCTTACATTACATAGGAGTTTATCCATTATTTAGAAGTCATGTAAAGCTGGTTCATTTTG